CATAGGATCTGAACCGGCGAACCCTGGGCTGCCAAAGCAGAACATGTGAACTTAACCGCTGCGCCAGTGGCCGGCCCAAGAAAGTCATCTTATCTCAGAGTTGGAAGTGACCTTAAATATCATAGTCCAGCTTAATCAAGTATCACTTTAGAATGTTGTATAGGGGCCGGCCCCTTGGCGCAGCGGTTAAGATCACACGCTCTGCTTTGGTGGCCTGGCGTTCGCTGGCCCGGATCCCGGGCATGGACCTCTGCAGTGCTTATCAAGGCATGCTGTGGTAGGCATCCCACATATAAAATAGGGGAAGATGGGCATGGATGTTAGCTCGGCGCCAATGTTCCTTAGCAAAAAAAGAGGAGGATTGGCGGCAGATGTTGGCTCAGGGCTAATCTTCCTGAAAAAAAAAAAAAGCAAACGTTGTTTAATTGCTTTGTGTTTACTCAAGCAGATTGTAGTTTCCTTAACAGCAGGGTCTGCATCTTGTACTTAGTGGTCATAAGTTATGGTCATAAGCCATAGCTGCAGGCCCACTATATGACATGTGATCTGACAATACAATACAATATTCAAGAAGGACTGTCCCATAAAATCCAGAAATATGGTAGTGTAAGTATCCTTTTTGTATTTCTCACTCCTTTTAGGAATACTGTTAAATATGGGATTTAAGGGAAAAAATTATGAAAGAATACAAGTTTATTGAAAAAGTCAAACAAGCAGTAGTTTACAATCAAAGATTTAAAATCCCTCGCTCTCATCCCCCTGAATGTAGCTCATGTTAACAATGTACTTTGGTGAATATCTTTCCAAACCTTTCTATGTGCTAAGGCAAACATATCCACATATATTTTCTCTTCTTTAGGAAAACGGGATCATAATAAATATATTTTCCTAAAAGTGAGATTTTTAACCTACTAATGTATGATGAACACTCTTCCAAACCACACATATGGATCTAACTCATTCTTTTCAACAGTTGTGTCCCATCATCTTTGGTCGTGCCATAATTTAATTAGCTGTTCCTTATTAATAGGTGTCTAGATTATTTCCAGGTTTTGGCTATTCCAAAGAATGTTACCAGTAATCATCTTCGTAGGTATGTTTTTAAATAATAATGCCATTCATTTTTGTAAGATAGATTCCCATAAGTGGGATTACTAGGTAAAAGGGTTCTTAATGACTTTTTTGAGATTTTTCTTCCCTAAAAGTTTGTAGTGTTTTTCATTCCTCCTAGGAGTGTTACGACAGTGCCAGTTTTACCAAATCATAGTCAGCTCTGAATATTGTTGCTTGTCCCTCTTTTTCATGTTTCTCAACCTGGTGGGTGAGAAGTGGTTTCACTTGGTTGTATTTGCATTCCTGATGGCTAATGTGGTTGCCTTTTCATTTGTTTATTGACCATGTGCATTTCCACTGTCACAAATTATTTGTAGTCTGCAGTTTTATATTGGGGTTATTTATCTTTTCTTTCTATTTTGTATTCCGTTTACAAATATTCTCTCCCTGTTTTTTAGACTTTGTTTATGACAGCTAACATTTTCTCCTCCCTTGACATTCTAAGTCCTGTTTACTGAGATACAGTTTACATACAGTAGAATTCACTCTTTAGGCATACAGTTCAATGAGTTTTGACAAATGTGTAACCATCATATTGCCAAGATATGGAATATTTCCATCATCCCAGAAAGCCCTTTTGTAATCAGTCTCCCTCCCCTCCCCCCAGCACTGGCAGCCATGGATCTGATTTCTGTCCTTGTAGTTTTGCCTTTTCCTGAATGACATGTAAATGGAATACAGTATTTAGCGTTTTGTGGTCTGGCTTTTCACTTAGGTTTTGAGATTCATCCCTGTTGTTACGTGTGTTAATGGTTTGTTCCTTTTTCTTGCTGAGTGGTATTCTGTCATATGGGGGATCAGTTTCCTAGGGCTGCTCTAACAAAGTCCCACGAACTGGACAGCTTACACAACAGAAATGTATTGTCTCAGTTCTGGAAGCTGGCAGTCTGAGATCAGGGTGTCCACAGGGTTCGTTCCTTATGAAGGCCGTGAGGGAGACCATTCCGGTCCTCTCTTGTAGCTGCTGGTAGCCCCAGGCACTTTTTTGACTTTGGCGGCACAACTCTAACCTCTGCCTCCATCTTCACATGGTTATCTTCTCCCTATGTGTGTCTTCCCATGATCTTTCCTCTGTGCTTGTGTCTCTGTGTCCAGATTTCCCCTATTTTATAAGGACATCAAATCATGCTGGATTAAGATCCACCCTAATGCCCTTGTTTAACTTGATTACTTCTGTAAGGACTATCTTCAGGACATCAGAGTGCACCGCCTCTGCTGCCACCGCCATGAACAGCGTAGGGGAGGTTTGCATGGACTTGAAGCACAAGTGTGACCAGTGCTTCAATCGCTGGTTGGCGAGAAGTTCCTCAAGGTGGACGGCTCTGGGGACCCGTGCACCAACCTCTTCAAGTGCTACCAGCAGTGTGTTCAGAAAGCAATAAAAGAGAAGGAGATTCCCATTGGAGGACTGGAGTTCATGGGACGTGGCAAAGAAAAGCCTGAAAGCTCTTCTTGACCTTGATGTCTCCTTGAAAGTGGGCTCCTCAAGTCAAGAAATTGAGGACTCTGGATTTTGTCACTTAAGGCTGTGAAGATAGCCATTGATTTGATGAGTTTAGGAGGGAGGAGTTTCCTTTCCTCCACTGTTTTCCTCTTACTTGTGAAAGATGAACCATGTCTCTGCTGTGAGATGATTTCCCACTTGCTCTGGAACCTTGCAGAAACTCACTGTGCTAAAACGGAATGGTTTCTTGAGATTATGGTTGCAGTCCTTGATCTGGCTTTAAATATGCCTTGTATGTAAATAGTGATAAACTTGTCAGGATGGTCAGGGTTGCCTGACCTCTTGAGTTATGCTGCAAAGGACGTTTGGCACACTGTACTGGAGTCATTGTTCATAATAGCAATTGGCTAGGATGTCTTCTCTCAGGGAGCTAATGCTCTGCGAAGGGATCCCAGTACAACGGTTTCAATCAGTGCTTGAGAGCACAGTTTGATTTTTATATAGTAACTTAACTGTTAAGATTGCTGGTGGACTGAGCTAGCCAAGAAGAGGACAGATTTTAAGTGTTAGATCTCAGATTCTGACGTGAAAGCTTCAAGAATGTTGCAGTGAACACCATTTCAGAGCTCATAGTGGAGAATCAGGAATTAAGATCCTTGAATTAACTATGGAGGAAGATCCTAAATTATAAAGATTTGCTGTTGCCAGCTTTCAACTCAAGCCAATGAATTAAGTCAACCTGTATATCATAAAAACGCCAAGATGCTGCAGCTAGTTAAATGGGAGATGAGTTTGATTTGCCTTGTGTGCCCACCCTGCCGGGTAGTGTCTGTAATCGTGAAAATGGAATAAATTGTAACATTTAGTTTCTATAAAAAAAAAAAAGGGCTATCTTCAGGTAAGATCACTTTCTGAAGTCCTGGGGGTTAGGACTTCAACATGTTTTGGGGGGAGACATAAGTCAACCCACAACATACGGATGAACCACAGATGGTTTGTCCATTTACCAAGTGATGGACATTTGAATTGTTTCCATCATGTTAGATAATTCAAAACAGAGGAGAAGTAGAAACTGGGTTTTAACTACTCTTTTCAGCCTTTTACTGTGTGGAAGAGGAAGACATTATTCTGCTCGGATCCTGGCCCACCTTCCTGTTTGGAAAAAGTTAGCAAGCAACAAAATGCTGGGCCACAGCGAAGAAAGAGGAGACTCCGAAAAGCTAAAGACTTCGAGACTTAAAAGCAGAACATGTGATGAAATGAATTTATCTAATGATCTAATGTTTTGTTTCATTTGCGTTTATCCTTTACGTTAAACTTTTCTTTAGATCTTTTTTTAGGGGAGATATTTAAGCTTTTGACCCGTATGTTTGCTGATGAACTGAGAGGGTAGGTTAACTGGAGTAGGTCATAGCTAAGCTTAAGTGTTCAGTTCTGTGCTCATCAGTTTCCTTGTGTCCCGTTCTCCAGACCGTAAGCCTGGCCCAACAATTCTTCCAGAGACATTTCCTCTCAGTGTCTTGGTCTCAATGTCCTCATTGTGGTTAGAGAAACGGCCTTGAATGAAGTATGTGCCATATAAGATAATACGAAGCTTTGGGTGGGTTAGGGCTGAAATGAACTGGCAGTGGGACAATGTGGGCAAGAGCGCAACTTCGAGAAGACTGCCCAAGGGTTGGTTTTAGTAATTTTGAGCTTCTTCCTCAGTAATTTTCCTACTATCAGGGACAGACCATAAAAATGAGAAGTAAAAAGAAAATGTCAGTAGATTTAGTCATATTGTTTCATAAATGCTTATTAAGGATTTAGTAAATGTTATCGACTGTACTAGCTGCTAGGGTGCAAGGATGAATGAATTGTCTTGTAGGTCCTGCTAAGGAATTTTGTCTTTATTGTAGGAAGCCATTGAAAGGTTTTCAGTGAGGGTGACATGATCAACTATGAAGTGTGGCAGGAAGGTGGAGTCAAGAGTGGATGTAAATTAAGTCATTTATTGCAGCAAAACGTTACAAATAGTCCAGAATATCAAATAGAAAGAAATAGGTTTGAAAAATGAATACTGACACAGGAGAGTTTCAGATCATATGCTAAGTGTGAAACGTAGGTAACAAAACATCACGTACAATAGGATTTCAATTTTGTTGAAGAAGAAATAAGTTAAAAGATGAAAAAACTTATAGAAAATACACCAAAATTCTAGCAGCGTATTTCTGGATGGTGGTATTTTATATAACTTTTTCTTTCTGCTTGTCAGTATTTTCTTAATAGAATGTACGTGTATAATTTGCACTATCAGGAAATAAAAGAACATGCTTTTTTTAAAAAAAAAAAAAAAAGTAGAAACTAGGTACTCTTTGTGCTCCTGGATGTACGTGGGCATTATTTTCTTTACGTGCTGTTTGTAAGTGACACTGACTGGCTGACCCCGTGTCTGATTCTTCAGCACAGGAGGAAGCGCCGCTCCACACCTTTGACTTCTTCCACGCTGTCCCCACAAGCAACAGAGAAAAGCTCCTATTTGCAAACCACGGAGATCTCACTCTGGACAGTGGTGGCTGCCATTCAGGCCGTGGAGAAGAAGATGGAGTCACAGGCCGCCCGGCTACAGAGCCTGGAGGGACGAACAGGGACAGCTGAGAAGAAGCTGGCCGACTGCGAGAAGACGGCCTTGGAGTTTGGGAACCAGCTGGAGGGCAAGTGGGCCGTGCTGGGGACCCTGCTGCAGGAGTACGGGCTGCTGCAGAGGCGGCTGGAGAACATGGAGAACCTGCTGAGGAACAGGAACTTCTGGGTCCTGCGGCTGCCCCCGGGCAGCAAGGGGGAGGCCCCCAAGGTAGTCCCCCTGAGGATTAAGTTAGACGAGACAGGGAGCCCAGGCTGTTGTTATCTAAGATTCTAAATTGCTGGCTTTTCCTTCCTGGCTGTGATTGGAGGGACTCATTGTGTGACATTTGTGATTTCAGGTGTCCAGGTCACTTGAAAATGATGGAGTCTGTTTTTCAGAGCAGGAGTGGGAGAATCTGGAGGACTGGCAGAAGGAGCTTTACCGGAATGTGATGAAGAGCAACTATGAGACTCTGGTCTCTCTGAGTAAGCAGCAGTTTTCCTCCTACAATGCTCTCTCAGACATCCTCCAGTTCCTGCCAGGAGCTGCGACCCAGACTGCACCTGAGGTTGTGGTTGGCCTTGGATCCCCTGTTGGCTTGTGCTGGGCTGAGACACGGGAGTTTCTTTTGGAACCTGTGGAAAAGTCTTGCTGTTGTGCATTTTGTATTTCTTCTGTGTGGTCACATAGTCAGTTCTTGATATTTACTAGTAGATAAGATGCCATCACATGCATTATGGTGTATATTGCTAGGGTTCCTCATGCTGTTTTTAATACTTAAGACTGTTTGACAAAAAATCCTTTACCTGGGATAAGGCATGCAGCACAGGCTAACCAAAAAGCTTTCCCTGGCATTTGGCTGGAATTACAGCCAGTCATTGTCGTCTCAGTGTTTATTTTGTGATGATTAGAAGTGCTGCTTAATAGACAGCATCTTTATATGTAAAGTATTAGCTATTACATAATAAATGCATTTTGTATGGTAGCCAAAATCTGTTAAAACATAGGTTCATGGAATTGTGTCCAGGAGGCCAGTGTACTGGAGCCGGGGCGGGGTGGGCAGTAGCAGATGGGTGTGAGAGGTGACCATGTGCCCTTGGCAGGGTCACGTGCTCTGCGAGTGGCTGTCTCCTTGTCTGCTGCCGCAGGGCTAACGGTGCGCCTCATTGCAGAGCTTTAGCATGGAGGAAATTGGATACCCTGAAAGGAAGCGACACTGAAACCACATACATGTGAGGAAGTGGTGGTGCTGAGAAGGGTAGTGGGCTCTGGAGCCTGACCGCCTGAGCCACAAATGGCTAATGAAGGCGCATCAAAGGCAGCAGCTTGCTGACTGGATCATTTGAATTGGCCATAATTTTTTGATTGTCCCAAACTGCTAGGGGAAAGTGACAGGTAGCTTTGAATCTTTTGAAGTTTTGATATTAACTCCCTGACATGGGTCACCCTGTTCATTGGCAACTGACCAGTGTGCAGTGAGCTCTCTGCTGGGCTTATGCTGTGCTCTTTCCAACCCAGAGGTCCTTGGCCAGCCAGAAGAAGAAGTGGAGTTGGGGACAGAGATGCTGGGTGACTTGGAGGAGGAAGGCCCTGGTGGTGTCCACCAAGGTGAGTGGCTCCAGAATATTCCATGCCTCTGCTCCCTGCAGCTATAGTCATCTTTCCCACTGCTAAACTGCTCAGCACTGATTATCAGTAACCTCATCTGGCATTTACTTATCCTAGACTTCTTTATGATTATCATTACTTCACCTCTTTCATGTGTGTCTTCACTCCTTCCCACTGTGTGGAGTCCTTAAGGTTCCTCACTGTATCATACTCCTTCATGCCCCACACGGTAGAGTACATAATAGGCTTTAGTCAAAACTTGCTGGAGAGTAAGAACAGGGTTGGTCAGATCTTCAGGAGTGAAGCTGGCTGGGGAGAGGCAGGAGAAGCATTTGTAAGCCAGGTAATTGGGAGAATTTGCAGAAAGAACAGAGCTGGATACACGAATTTTTAAGGTATAGGTTTAGTTTGTTTTTTTAAAAAAATCATTCACATTTATTATTTTAACACTCTTAAATTAGTGTAGTTGCAGTATATTTTGCCATTTTTCACAGGGATTGAATATAAATGTGGACAAGCTTGGAGAACTATCATTTATAACATTGTTCTATAAACGTAATATGTTTATAACATAACATTGTTCTACAAACATAATATGTTCAGATTTCCAACTAGCGTGTCTCTACCTGAGTACAGGTTTAGTCTTCAGGTCTTAGAATCCTGTCGGTCTCATCCGCCTCCAAATTGTCCTAATTCCCTTGATGTTGGGATGCTTTGAATTTGAAACAAATTCACACGTTTGTTTAGCTCCAAAGAAACTGAATGTGATCTTTCTGTTGATTTTCTTTCTCTTGGCAGCAGAAGGGGTTATGATCAAGCAGGAGGTACAGTACACTCAGGAAGGCTCTGTGGATCTTTCCGGAGAGTTCTCGGGCATTGCTGAAGAGCAGGCTTTCCTGAGCCCGGAGCAGGCTGAGCTCTGGGATGGTCAGGGCAGTTCTGTCCTCTTGGAATTAGGTCCTGGGAACACTAATCTAGAGGAGCCCACTGGGGGCAGTAGAGACCCTAGCAGTGGCAGAACTCTGGGCTGCCCCCAGAAGCAGAAGTCTAATGGGCAGGTGCAACTGGGTCAGGAATGTGGGCAGGGCTTGAAGCTGGAAAGGGACACTTCTGGCCCCTATGAATGTTCTGAGTGCGAGATCGGCTTCCGCTGTAAGCAGCAGCTGGCCACACATCTGCAGACCCACTCAGGGTGGGAGTCTTACTCAGCCTCAGAGCCGGAGGAGAGCTTTAGGCCCAGGCCACGGCTTAAGCCCCAGTCCAGGAAGGCAAAGCTGCATCAGTGTGCCGTGTGCATGAGGAGCTTCAGCTGCAGGGTGAGCCTAGTGACCCACCAGCGCTGCCACTTGCAGGAGGGACCCAGTGGTGGCCATCGTGTCCAGGAGAGGTTCTCGCCCAACAGCCTGGTTGCCCTGCCTGGCCACATCCCTTGGAGGAAAAGCCGGAGTTCCCTCATCTGTGGTTACTGTGGCAAGAGCTTCAGCCACCCGTCTGACCTGGTGCGGCACCAGCGCATCCACACAGGCGAGAGGCCCTACAGCTGCACCGAGTGCGAGAAGAGCTTTGTCCAGAAGCAGCACCTCCTGCAGCACCAGAAGATCCACCAGCGGGAGCGGGGCGGGCTGGCCCCAGAGCCTGGAGGGGCCAGTGGCCTGCTTTAAGGGTGCCAGCCCCTTACCCGTCCAGGGGCGGAGGGGGCTGGCATTGGTCCCCCTGAAGAGACACTGTGCAGAGTCAGGGCCTGACTTCTTCCTGGGTGGAGTCACTTTGATTTGCCTTCTCGTGACCAAGCACCGAGCCCAAAGGCTCCTGAAAACCATGTGGAAGAGGAAGAGTCTGGGCCAGGCGTCTCCCTGCTGTCTTTACCCTGCTGCTGTTTGCTGTCTCTTTGGCACCTTCATGTGTCTGATTTTCCATCTGTGCTGGGTCTCCTGGGCTGTAGTTGGCTCTCTGACCCCACTGGGACTGGTGGCTAGTTCCAGGCATTTCTGAATGTCCCAGCATTTCAGGTCTTCCCACGAGGTTGAGTCGGCCAAAGGAATGAGCAGGTGTGTGGAAGAGTTCTGGGAAGCATAACCCTCTATTTCTCTTCTTTTGTAGTCTCTTTGTTAATGACAAGTAGAAGAAATAATTTAAATGAACTGCTTATCCTGCTCTGAAGAACCTTTTTTGGAATTAGATTTTAGTTGATTTAAAAAAAAATACAGTCCGACACTTGGTTTTTAATTTTCAAGAGTTGTAGAAGTTGTTCCTAACATGGGGACAGGGCCTACCCTCTAGGAGGGAATCGTTTACGGGGCTCTTTTAGCCCACCCACACTTAGTTAGGCCAGAGATCAGGGGCATAGTCCTGGGGTGCCCCTTGTGGGGGTCCAGAGGGGGCCGACTGAATCAGAAGGGCCGAGAGGAGGAGAGGAGTTGAGCTAGACCCAAAGCCTCTGCTGAGGATGCGGAGCCCTGTAAAGAAGCTGAGAGGACGGAGCTGCTGCGGGAGCTCAGGGTTCCCACCACAGCCCTCTCCGTCTGCATCCCTGCCCTGGCTGTGCTTCTGCAGCCTCTCAGGGTAGAAGACGACTTTGTCACTTAGGGTCGCTCAGCTTATACCAGTGGTTATTTGAGTTTGTCCCTACTGCACCCGTTGTTTCTTGAGGTGGTTCAGATTACACGCTTTCCAAATTAGTTCTGGGACTGACTGTTCTGGAGATGATGGAGAAAAAGCACACAGGTGCTTGTCTGTCTGTCAGTGTTGAATACCTACCCCACTCTTGTTTGGGGAGATGGGAGTGGGCTCCCGAGTCCTGTGTGAGTGTCCCCTTTGCTGATTTTCAGTTGCCTAAAATAAAACTTGCTGTTAGCAAAAATAAAAAAGTGCTCATGTCGGTTTTTCTCCATTTGTCAGGAATACCCTGCTGGGGCCAAGGTGGAGGAGGTGCCTGATGTGGAGCAGTGACAGCCTGACCTGCATTCTTAAGCCTAGGACAGATGAGAAGAGGGCGTGTATGGGAAGATTCATGGGACCCTCTTTGTGGTGCTCGAGGGCTGCAGGCAGTCTGGGTGTCGGTTGGTGGAAGGTGGGAGGTAGAGAGGGCCGGTAAAATATGGTGGGTGCACCCGGAAGTACTGGGTAGCGTTAGGAATATTGGCTTAGATGTGCGTGTGGCCACATGGGTCAGTCTTGAACGTACAAAGCTGAGTGGGAAATGTAAGAAATTGGATGATATCTATAACACAGTACCATTTATGTAAATTTAAAATGCACGTACACGAAACAAAACAATTTGTAGGGACACAGAAACCAAAAGATACACATTAAAGGCATTACAATTGCCCATGGGAAGAGTCAGTGGGATATGAGGATAAAAAGGAACAAATTAAATAAATAAATAGATAAAAATAAACTCAGGTCGATGTAAGGCATGGGATTGTCTTGTTCCAGAAATTGAACATGGAGGGAAGTTGTCATAAGCAGATGCTGTGCGAGGCACTCAACCTCGTTACATGCAGGAAACCAGCTGCCTTCCTAAATTCCTTCTACAATCTCCTTCTGCCCCCAAGCCTTTGCCTTATAGATACCTCTGCAAGGCGCTGTTTTAAATTCTTTACATAAAAACAAACTTACTCCTCACATGACCCTATGTGGTAGTACCATCATTACCCCATTTTGCATGAGTTGTGGAAGAGACCTGAGAAGTGAAGTAATAGGCAGAGGTGGCCATAAACCTAGATCAGTCTTGCTTCAGAGCCCACACACTTGACCATGGGTGCTGTTGCTTCTGGTTGACCACCATTAAGTACCTCGTGTCCTGGCTGGATTCTAAGTCCTTGTTACCCAAAGTGTGGTCTCTGCACCAGCAGCATCAGCATCCCCTGGGAGCTTGGTAGAAATGCAGTCTCTGAGACCCACTGAATCAGAATCTGCATTTTAACAAAACCTTGGTTATCCTTTGCACACAGAGGCACTGTTTTAAGTGATAGGCAAAATCAGCCTCTTGCCTGTTTCACCTGTCCACTGAAAGCCTGCTCTGCCAGGCACTGAGAAGAAAATAGGAAATGGAACTGTGTGAAGGACAGGGACGATCAAGTGAGGTTTAAATCAACACCTAGGGAAGAATTAAATGCCAAACATGAGTGACTCTAAGCTGCCCTATCTCCTTCCTTTTCCTACAGGTGACGTTCCAATCATTACCTACCTGACTCCTGAATAACCTACCTGGTCTCCTAGCCCTAGTCACATCCTTTTTGCTGCCAGAGTTCTTGTCCTGGAACACAAATTGGACATGGGCTTTCCTCAAAGCCTTGCAATACATTCAGCTGGCTGCTGATGAAGAGCAAGCTTTTAGTGTAGAACTCAAGACTTCAACAACCTAACCTACTCTGTTCCTTCACCTTTCACTCTTTCTAAATTATCTATGCTGCTGCCACATTGGGCTTCCTGTCACGTAGTGAACAGGCTGTTCTCTCCCACCTTCACGTTGAGCTCATGCTTCCGCTTTCCCACGAATGCCCTTTGTGACCCACATACTGTGTTTCACTGCTGGGTTTATGTGCCCCTTCTTCGAAAGCTTCGCTCGTCCATTTCTTTCATTCAACAAACACGTATTGAGCACCTGTTATCCAGGCACTGTTTTAAATACTTGGGGTACGTCAGCGTAAAAAACAGACATCTTTGCTCTAGTTGAGTTTATGTTCTACCAAAAGCAGTTTTCTTCCCATCCTGCACATTTGCACAGCCCTTTCCTAGCCTAGCACAATATTCCATTCTGGCTAGAGTTTGTTCAGTCCCCAATATCCGAGCAGCATCCATCTGTGAAGTCTACAGAGGGATACCAGGTGAAATCAGCTTGCTCTTGAGCTTACAGGCTGTTAAGGGAATCTAATACAAGTTGGAAAATTATATATCTCAGAGAACAATTACATTTAGTTGTAGGACATTGGGGATGGCTTTAGGAGAGATGACTTTTGAACTGGACCTTTAAGGATGCAAAGAAGGACATTCTAAATGGAGTGACATAACCAAAATAGAAGACATTATGGGCCTATACAAATACCGATTCATTTGATTTGGCTGGAGGATGTGGCTGGAAAGAGGTTGGGGCCAGACCAAGCAGTTGGGATTTTATTGAGTTAGTAATGGGAAGTTGAGAGTTTTGAGCAAGAGGGCAACCTGATTGTAGTTGTGATTTGGGAATATTAACCTGATAAGAGTTATATCATGCTTTTTTGGTGGGGAGGAGGTGGGGGGATATGTTGGGAGGTTTCGAGTGAGACCAACAAGAGCCCATGAGGACCTGATCGGCTGCAGTGGGACGAGAGCGAGTGACAGAGATGGACAAGATCGCCAAGGCAGAGTCGACAGCATGTGATGCCTTTTGAAGGCAGGGACTATGCGTTAATCTTACCCAGACAGCTGCAGGCACAGGGGCTTCACACATAGGTGCTCGCCACATGTTCGTTGAATGAACAGGTATAATAGGTATTCACAGAATAGGAAACTCAGTGTTTGAACTCTGGAAGGCTTCAGGGAGGAAGGGGTACTTGGTTATACTTCTGGTCTCTCTTTACCAACACTTCCCCTCCTAATGCTTTATAATTCTGGGTGGGTCCACTTCCTAATTTAATTTAAAATTAAATGCCTGGATTGTAGAGTAAGGGTGGGGGCACATGAATTCTTTCTCTGAGCTGCCCCTATCCCTTGGCTGAGGATGTTGTCGTGGGGATAACGAGCACTTGAATATCTTGACCCCACTTTGAGTGACCCCAGGTGTTGTTTTAGTGGCCCTCAACCTCTGATGACCCCACCTTCTGCTGCAGAGGCTGCTGACAGGCTGTTTCAGTGACCTGCACTTGGCAGGGTCAGCCCTATTCCTCCAGGGTCTGCGCCTCCACTTTGGAAATCCAGTGTTGTCAGTTCACTCAGAAGTAGTCAGGCCCCGGAGATCTGATCCAAAAAAAGAGCAAACTCACAAGAGACAGATTAATAATTAAGGATGCGGGTAATTTTAATTGATATTAGAACAACACCTGGCCTGATACCCAGGCTGGCCTGCTCAGCAAACCACATTAGGGCGTAAGGTGGTTGTGCTTTTTGTTCGATATATTCATAAAATCAGAGCATGGGAACGGGAGGCAGCTGTGGGAGCTCGATAAACAGGGCCTTCCTTCTCACAGTGCGATGCCAGGCCAGTAGAATCAGCATCAGCTGGCAACAAGTTAGAAATGCAAATTCTGGTCACCCCCACCCCCTCCAGCCTCAGACCTGGAAGCTGGAGACTGGCGTCCAGCAATCTGTATTTTAACGAGCACTCCAGGTGCACAGGTGGACATTAAAGTTTGAGTACCACTGACACAGAAACTTTTTTCTAAAAAACTAACACCAGCTGTCAAAAATTAGAGCAGTGTTCACTGAACAGAGCTTGTTAAATACTAACGTTTTCTTCCTCTGCAATCCATTTTCCAGACGCTTTCTGCTTGCATTGGGCATTAACTCTTATTTTATAAGATCGCCATTTACCAGTACTTTATAATCCTGAATATATTGGCCTGACTGACCCCTGATGAGGTCCTAGGGGTGCTCTTAATGTCTTCAGCACACATTTGCAAATTGTCAGGTTGGGTTACTGCAACAAGGACGTCCACAAGGAAGAATGCCATACATTGATTTGATTTCTTCTTACCTTAAAGTAACACTTCCTAAACCAGCCACAAATTCTAGGGGTGCACCTTACTTGGAGAAAGTATCAGTGTCTTTATGTTTACTTTGTTAATTGACCATACTTTTGCTTGGATCAAACATATGGGCAAATAATTTCCTCCCCTCCCACTTCACCCCCACCCCCAAAAAAGAGAAAATACTTGAAACAAAACACACACAGGAAGCAACAAAACTGCAGAGTAATTTCTAGTGGGAAGAGTTTGCAGGCTTATTGGACAAACTATAAAATGAATGGGAAGTGCAGAAAAGCTAGAAAATAAAACAAACTGCATACAATATATTTTGCTTTATATTCAGTGATTAACTCTGGTTTTCCAGAGTCAGGCTCTTGGGTTACAGCTGAGGCAAATGGGTCTCAGATTGAGCGGTTTATTCAAGATGCCTCCGGGCCTGAATCAGTGATGGGTTTACTCTTGCTGCAAACCCAGCCTGGAGCCAAAGCTACAGAGGATCTGCGGTTGGCTGACGGGCCACTGAAGACTGGGTGTGGCAAAGAGAGCTTCAGAGGGCTCTGCAAAGGGTGCCTGAGCAGGGTGTCTGCTCGGGAGGTAGGCCCCAGGAAGGAGGAGACCCAGGACCCCACAGACGGTTGCGAGAGGGAGGGCTCTTTTTTAATGAAATTTTTCCCGAGGTCTTTCTATTAATTCTGGAAAACTGAAAAGAGTTTCGAAACCTTTATCTGTCCTCTCCCACCCCCTGGCTTTTCCCGGGCATAATGTGTACCCAGCTAACAGTCACTTTAGGTCCACCGGAGGTGTTAAAACGGTAAATCTAAACACACTTGCGATTACCCGGCCCTGACTGCCCTTCTTCCCCGATACACGCGGAAACTCCCGACGTTTCGAAATTTCCTGCGCGTTTTCTTCCTTAGCTCCTCGGCCCCATTTCCCCGTGTGGGACGCGGGGGTCCCTCAGCCCCAGCATCCTGGAGAGGGGTAGGGGCCTGGGCTGGGCCTCCAAGCTGCCCCCGCTTGTCGCCCGCGCCCGCCCGGCGCCTGCCCGAGGGTCGCCTCTGCCCTACGGGAGCCCGGCTGGGGGGGCCGGCGGCGCGTCCGCCCCCGGCGTCGACTCCCGCGGCCCAGGCGAGGGCGGGCGGCCGGCCTCCCCCGGGGACCCCGCGGCCGCCAGGGCGGGCAGGCGGGCGTGGCGGGCCGCGGGCCGCGGGCGTGCGGTCCTTCGGGCTGCAGGGGGCGCTGTGCGCGCCCTCGGGCCCGGCCGCGAGCGCAGCTCTTGTTTAAAGGGCCGGCGGGGCACGTGGCTCGGACGCAGCTCGCGGCCGCCCGGCAGGAGCTCCGAGGCTGGGCGGCTCCGCTCCGCCTCTGCCGCCGCGCCGCGCCGCGCCAGGCCCGACAGGCCGGCCCGAGGAGAGCAGCGGGAGGGACGCGGGCAGCCATGGCCGAAGCGGCGCGCGCCCCGGTAAGCGCCCCGGCGCGGACGCCCGGACGCCCAGACAGGCCGGGCCGCCGCCGCCGCCGCCGCGTGGGCCCGCCAAGCTCTCGGCCGGCCGGCCGCCCGGAGCGGCCCCGCGGCGCGGCCTCCGCGCCTGCCGCCTGCGCCCGCCGCGTCGGGCCCGCTCTCAGCCGGCCGCCCTCGTCTGGCGCCCGCGCGGGCGGCGTTCAGGCCCACTGCCCGGGCGGCCCAAAGGCCAGGCCGGCGGCGCGGCGGGCGGGCGGGCGGCCCGACGGCGGGGGCAGGCCAGGCTCCCAGGGACGCTCAGGATGACAGGCCTTTGCATTTGCTCAGCGTGGCTGTCCCCCTCCCCCGGCCGCGTCCATTGTCTCCTGTGAGGCCCCCGGCGGCGGCGGGGAGGGCGGGGCGCCGGCTCCATGCGGTTCTGACAGCTGGCGCCTGGGGCTCCGAGAAGGGACCGGCCCAAGGTCACTCCCTAGTCGAGGCCAGAGCCTGACGCCCAGCCGGGGCTTTGGAATCACACCCCCTTTAAGGGACCCAGCATTCTGCTCTGACCTAAGAGAAAGGTGTTGAATGCTGTTTGCCAGAGGGATTGTAGGGTTTTTTGTTTTTGTGTTTTTTGTTTAGCAGATTTTAGAATGTTGGCTAATGCAATATGTCCACTTGGGAGAAAATAATCCTTTGGCCACTTTTGACCTACTAGGAAAACACCTGTAAAGAGCTCAATAAATATATCTACTATTATTAATACATCTCAGGTTTTTGAAACTTTGATTTTTATGGATGCTTTTTAAGAAGGAATTTCTTCTCTTTAATTAGTGAATTTGGTGTGTGCTTTTTTGGGGGGTCCCCTGAGTGCAAGGGAGGGAAAGGGGGTGGGAGCCCTTCAGGCTTATGGCCCTGTTCTTGGGGGAAGCCCCCCAAGGCCTGTCTGTACAGGTGACATCATCAGCTCCCACCCAGCCCAGGAGCCTCCCTCAGCATTCTCCCTGACCACTCCTATCCACCCACTCCCTTCCCTCTGCCCTCGTTCTTGCACTGCTTCAGATTCCAAGAAACTCCCCAATATAATCACAAGGGTCATTTGGGGTTTTTTTTTGTGTGTGAGGACCATCGGCCCTGAGCTAATATCTGGGCCACTCCTCCTCTACCTTGCACTTGGGATGCCACCACAGCATGGCTCGATGAGCGGTGTGGTGTCTAGGTCCACACCCAGATCTAAACCAGGGAACCCCCACTGCCAAAGCGAGCACACAAACTTAACCACTATGCCACCCGGCCAGCCCCCCAAGAAACTCCCCAAACAGGACAGATTGGCCCTCAACTTTTGTTAGCCTATGGTATCACACTGTTACCATGTATAGTGACAATTAATAGTGGTGACTATTTCTGTACAGAATTTTTCTTCTGGGGAAGGAAGAACCACATAATTTTTTCTGCATCCCTGTTGTACCTTTACTATCACAGGTGTTCAGTAATGGTTATTGAATGAATGTATTGTTTAATTGTTTAGTCACTCATTCATTCAACAGGTGTTTACTGAGCATTTGCTATGAGTGAGGCACTCTTAGAAGCTGGGACTACATGGGAGCTTATGTTCCCATGGGGGAAACAAACCATAACACAGGCCAACACATAGAATGATCACAGATTATTAGTGCTATGAGGGAAGGGACTAACAGGGGACTGTTTTAGATGTGTCTGTCAGTGAAGGTCTCTAGGAGGCGATGTTTAAGCTGGAGCCTCGTGTGAGAGGGTGCCAGGAGTGGTGTGGGAAGAGCTGACCGCAGGTGGAGGAGAGCTGGGTGTATCCTAGACATCTGGGCAGGCCAGGGTGGCTGGAGTGTAGTAAATACCCGGGAGGATATAAGGTCTGGGAGGCAGGCTGAGGTATGAAAAGAAGTTCAGATTTTATTCCAGGTACACTGGGAAGCTATGGGAGAGTTTTAAGCAGGGGACTAAAGTGATATAGTTTGTGTTTTTAAAAGAGTACTGACTGCCCTCTGGAAAGTGTATGGTGGGGGAGAAGGGTGAAGTGGGGAAGTCAGCGGGGTGGAGTTGCAGTGGCGGGGTGGAGTTGCAGTGGCTCAGGTGAAAGTTGATTGGGGCTTGGCCTAGGTGATCGCAGTGGAGAAGGAGAAAAGAGGACAGATTTGAGATACTTTGAGAAGTCATATGGATAGGACTTGGTGGTGATTTGGCCATGGATGATGAGTGAAGTGGAGGGGTGAGATGTCAGTTCACATTTCCAGCAATGCTTTTAGGAAGATGCACTGAGACTGAGGCCTTTGTACACGCTCAGGGACGGCTTGTGCATCGGTCACCAAGGAGCTGGGGTGCTCCAGAAGCTCTTTTCCAAGGCACTGAAGGACAATGTAAAGAAAAAGGGGGAGAAAAAAGTTCCCATGAACTATTTCACCCTGCATCCCTGAGCCAGAAGCATCTTCATCGTCATCACATCCTCCTCGTTATCAGCTTAGCTCACATTTGTTGCATATTTACCACGTGTTAGACATTCTGTTAAATGCTTTTTGCAAAGATTGTGTCAATAATTCTCACAGTCCTATCATGTAGGTACTCTTATCAGTTCCATTTCTAGATGTGGAAGTGAAGTTGAAAGATGTTTCTAAAACTTTGCCCAGAGCCAGCCAGCTTATGAGTGGCAGAGGTGCTGGTTGCACCCAGACTGTGTGACTGCAGGGCTCACGTTCTCTGGGTTTCAAACCTGTCCCTTCTTTTTCAGAGGAGGAGACTGAGAACGAAGCAGGGAAGTCACTGGAGACTGCAGACACTTTCTCTCTTTGGCTATGTTTTTCCTCCTATTTCGCACATGCTAACACCTTGGTCCAGGCAGTGTCTCCTGTCCTGAGGCTGGACTCCTAACTGATGTCCCTGCCTCCCCATGCCCCCCACAGCTGCCTGACCTGCCTTCAGGATCCCAGATGAGGCTTTACCCGGGCAGGTGACATTCTGAGGTTTCTTTTTAAGGTGGACATTTTGATTGTATAATTCTGATAACATCTCTCCTTTCTCTTGTGGACAGGCTCCAGAGAGAGACAAGCAAACAGGAGACGAAAGGCCTTCGACACCTTCTCCGTCGCCCCAGCTGGCTGCTGAGAAGAACTCATACCTCTACTCCACGGAGATCACGCTGTGGACTGTGGTGGCCGCCATCCAGGCCTTGGAAAAGAAGGTGGATTCCTGCCTGGCCCGTTTGCTGACTCTGGAGGGACGAACAGGGACAGCCGAGAAGAAGCTGGCCGACTGTGAGAAGACGGCCTTGGAGTTCGGGAACCAGCTGGAGGGCAAGTGGGCCGTGCTGGGGACCCTGCTGCAGGAGTACGGGCTGCTGCAGAGGCGGCTGGAGAACATGGAAAACCTGCTGAGAAACAGAAATTTCTGGATCCTGCGGCTGCCCCCAGGCAGCAAGGGGGAGGCCCCCAAGGTAACCGTGGGGCACCCTGGGTGGGACAGCCTGAAGGGCCATGCCTGTGTGTGGGTGAGCGTGTGTGACACTGTGGTTCCAGGTGCCCGTGACCTTTGATGACGTGGCTGTGTATTTTTCCGAGTCGGAGTGGGGCAGGCTGGACAAGTGGCAGAAGGAGCTCTACAAGCACGTGATGAGGGGCAACTATGAGATGCTGGTCTCCCTGGGTAAGGCTGCGTAAGTGAGGACCTGGGCCTCTGTCCACAGATTGGCCTCCCACAGTCTGTGTCTTTGCGTTAGCTTCTGTTCCTCTGGTGTCTCTGCATCTCTGTGGCAACTAGGTGGCAGGTGTCCAGTCCTGACCCAGCTCTCTTCATTCCGTATGCAGATTATGCCATCTCCAAACCGGACATCCTCACCCGCATGGAGAGGGGTGAGGAGCCTTGTCCTGACGGCCCATGGGGCCCGGAGGAGGGGAAGGAGAGAGAGGCAGCACGCCCGAAGAGGCCAGGCGCTGGTGAGTGCGGCACGGTGGGGAGCGGCCAGGCAAGCTGAACCACAGCCCGCTCTCTGGGCTTCCCAGACGTGCTGTGAGGCCAGGAAGGGAGGACAGCCCCTTCACCCATGGTGGGCCCGCGCTGTCTGAGGCCCGCCCAGGGAGGGGCAGGGCAGGGCTTTTGCCCTAGAGCCATCCAGTTTGTACGTCTGTGCGAGGGGACAGCCGTGCTCGCCTCACTCGGCTGCTGTGAGGACTTGGGAAGATGGCAGACAGGAAGCTAGCATTCTATAGTAAGTGGGGACCTATGACTAACTGTAATGCTAGCAGCAGCAGCATTTTTGCCGCCACCTCCTGGTGGCCCTCCACCTCTGCTCCCGACTCCAGCTGCAGCTGTGGGTCCTGTAATGTACGGCTTCCCTTTGTGGAAGTGGGCCCTCTCGGAGGAGGCCCAGCCAGCTTCGTCCCCACAGCTTGTGTGGTATAGGACGGGGGTTCCAAAGTTGCGCCTTTTGATCCCCTTCATGCATTTTGCCCACTCCCGCCTCTGGCAATCACCAGTCTGTCCTCTGTATCTCTGAGCTTGGTTTTTATTATTTTTTTTAGATTCCACATATAGGTGAGGTCATACGGTATTTGTCTTTCTCTGTATGACTTATTTCACTTGGCATAATCCCTCAAGATCCATCCATGTTGTCATAAATGGCAAGATTTTATTTTTTATGGCTGAATAATATTCTGTCGTATGTACACACCACATCGTCTTTATCCATTCATCTATCAATGGACGCTTAAGTTGTTTCCATTTCTTGGTTATGGTAAATGCAGGCATACCTTGTATTATTTGCAGATATTGCATTTTTTTGCAAATTAAAAGTTTGTGGCAACCCTGCATTGAGCAAGTCTGTTGGCACCATTTTTCCAACAGCATTTGCTCACTTTGTGTCCTTGTGTCACATTTTGGTAATTCTCACAATATTTCAAACTTTTTCATTATTATTGCTATGGTGATCTGTGATCAGTGATCTTTGATGTTACTATTGTCATGTGCTGGGGTGCCACAAACTGTGCCCGTATAAGACGGTGAACTTAATCAATAAATGTCGTGTGTGTTCTAACTGCTCCGCTGACCGGCTGTTGCACTGTCTCTCTGCCTCTCCTTTGGCATCTCTATTCCCAGAGACACAACAATACTGAAATTAGGCCAATTAATAACCCTACAGTGACCTCTAAGTGTTGAAGTGAAAGGAAGAGTCACATGTCTCTCACTTGAATTAAAAAACCAGACGTGATAAGCTTAGTGAGGAAGGCATGTCAAAAGCCGAGATAGGCTGAAAGCTAAGTCTCTTGCATCAAACAGTTAAACAAGTTTTGAATGCAAAGGAAAAGTTCTTCAGGGAAATTAAAAGTGCTACTTCAATGACCACATGCATGATATGAAAGTAGAACAGCCTTATTGCTGATATGGAGAAAGTTTCAGTGGTCTGGATAGAAGATCAAGCCAGCCACAACATTCCTATAATCCGAAGCCTAATCCAGAGCAAGGCCCTAACTTGATTCAATTCTGTGAAGGCTGAGAGAGGTGAGGAAGCTGCAGAAGAAGAGTTGGAAGATGGCAGAGGTTGGTTCATGAGGTTTAAGGAAAGAAGCTGTCTCCATGACATAAAAGTACAGGGTGAAGCAGTAAGTTACCCAGAAGATCTAAATAAGACAATGAAGGTGGCTACACTTAAGATTTTCAAGGTAGACAAAACAGCCTTCTATTGGAAGAAGATGCTATCTAGAACTTTCATAGCTAGAGAGGAGAAGTCAATGCCTGGCTTCAAAGCTTTGAAGGACTGGCTGACTCTCTTGTTATGGGCTACCGCAGCTGGTAACTTTAAGTTCAAGCCCTTGCTCATTTGCTATTCCAAAAATCCTAGAGCCACTAAGAATTATGCTAAATCGACTCTACCTATGCTCTATAAATAGAACAACAAAGCCTGGATGACAGCACATCTGTTTACAACATGGTTTACTGAATATTTTAAGCCCACTGTTGAGACCTGCTGCTTAGAAAAAATGATTCCTTTCAAAATATTACTGCTCATTGACAATGCATCTGGTCACCCAGAGCTCTGATGGAGAGGTACAACAATATTAATGTTGTTTTCATGCCTGCTAACAGAGTATCCGTTCTACAGGCCATGGATCAAGGAGTAATTTTGGCTTTCAAGTCTTATTATTTAAGAAATACTTTTCATAAGGCTATAGCTGCCATAGACAGTGATTCCTCTGATGGATCTGGGCAAAGTAAACTGACAACCTTCTGGAAAGGATTCACCATTCCAGATGCCGTTAAGAACATTCATGGTTCATGGGAAGAGGTCCAAATAGCAACCTTAACAGGAGTTAGAAAGAAGTTGATTCCAACCCTCCTGGATGCCTTTGAGGGGTTCAAGACTTCAGTGGAGGAAGTAACTGCAGATGTGGTGGGAACAGCAAGAGAACTAGAATTACAAGTGGAGCCTGAAGAGGTGACTGAATTGCTCCAATCTCATGATAAAATTTTAACAGATGAGGAGTTGCTTCTCATGGGTGAGCAAAGAAAGTGGTTTCTTGAGATGGAAACCTCTCCTGGTGAAGACGCTGTGAAGGTTGTTGAAAGGACAACACAGGATTTAGAATGTGACATAAACTTAGTTGATAAAGCTGCGGCAGGGTTTGAGAGGACTGACTCCAATTTTGAAAGAAGTTCTACTATGGGTGAAATGCCATCCAACAGCATCGCACGCCACAGAGAAATCATTTGTGAAAGGAAGAGTCAATTGATGTGACAAACTTCATTGTTGTCTTATTAAGAAATTGCCACAGTCATCCCACCCTTCAACAACCACCACTCTGATCAGTCAGCAGCCATCAACATTGAGGCAAAAAGATTATGACTCTACCAGCAAAAAGATTATGACTTGCTGAAGGCTCAGGTGATGGTTAGCATTTTTTAGCAATAGAGGTTTTTTTTTTAAAGATTGGCACCTGAGCTAACAACTGTTGCCAATCTTCTTTTTTTTTTTTTCCCCGCTTTTTCTCCCCAAATCCCCCCAGTTCATAGTTGTATATTTTAGTTGTGAGTCCTAGCTGTGGCATGTGGGACACCGCCTCAGTGTGGTCTGATGAGCGGTGCCATGTGTGTGCCCATGATCTGAACCAGTGAAACCCTGGGCCACCAAAGCAGAGTGCGTGAACTTAAGCACTTGGCCACGGGGCCAGCCCCCTAAAGTATTTTTTTTTTTTTTTTAAAGATTTTATTTTTTCCTTTTTCTCCCCAAAGCCCTCTGGTACATAGTTGTGTATTCTTCGTTGTGGGTCCTTCTAGTTGTGGCATGTGGGATGCTGCCTCAGCGTGGTTTGATGAGCAGTGCCATGTCCGCGCCCAGGATTCGAACCAACGAAACACTGGGCCGCCTGCAGCGGAGCGCGCGAACTTAACCACTCGGCCACGGGGCCAGCCCCTAAAGTATTTTTTAATTAAGGTATATACCTTTGTTTTTTAGACATAATGCTATTGCACACTTAATAAACTATGGTATAGTGTAAACATAACTTTGATATGTACTGGGAAATCAAGACATTTGTGTGACTCGCTTCATTGTGATACTCGCTTTATTGCAGTGGTCTGGAACCTAACTCGCAGTATCTCCAAAGTGTGCCTGTAATGCTGCAAAGAACATCTGGGAGTGTATATATCTTTCTGAGTTAGTTTTAATTTTCTTAGGCTAAATACCCAGAAGTGGAATTGTTGGATCGTATGGTATTTCTTTTTTTTTTTTTCGAGGAAGATTAGCCCTGAGCTAACATCTGCCAATCCTCCTCTTTTTGCTGAGGAAGACTGGCCCTGAGCTAACATCCATGCCCATCTTCCTCTACTTTATACGTGGGACACCTACCACAGCATGGCTTTTGCCAAGCGGTGCCATGTCCGCACCCGGGATCCGAACTGGTGAACCCCGGGCCGCTGAGAAGCGGAACGGGCACACTTAACCACTGCGCCACCGGGCCAGCCCCATGGTATTTCTATTTTTAATTTTAGGGGGCCCCTCATACTGTTTTTCATAGTGGCTGTACCAATTTACATTCCCACCAGCGATGCACAGGGTTCCCTTTTCTCCACATCCTTGCCAACTCTTATTTCTTGTCTTTTTGATAATAGCCATGCTAACAGGTGTGAGGTGACATCTATCTCATTGTAGTTTTGATTTGCATTTCCCTGATGATTAGTGATGTTGAGCATCTTTCCATGTACCTGTTGGCCATCTGTATATCTTCTTTGGAAAAATGTCTATTCAGATCCTCTGCCCATTTTTCAATGGAATTGTTTGGTTTTTTGCTGTTAATTTGTATGAGTATGTATTTTGGATATTAACCCATATCAGATATATAATTTGCAAAGGTTTTCTCCCATTCAGTGGGTTGCCTTTTAATTTTGTTGATGGCTTCCTTTGCCGTGCAGAAGCTTTTTAGTTTGATGTAGTCCCACTTATTTTCGCTTTTGTTGCCTTTGCTTTTGGTGTCAAATCCAAAAAATCATCACTAAGACCAATGTCAATGAGCTTTTTTGCTGTGTTTTCTTCTAGAAGTTTTTTGGTGTCAGGGCTCACCTCGTTGTCTTTCTTTTCATGATCGTCAGGCTTATCCTTCTGTTAGAAAGTTTCCCATCCACTTTTCACACGATGATTTAATAATCATTGAAGATTGTTGCCTGCATTTGTTATTTCATTAGGAGTTGCAAAATGGTGAAATTCTGTCATTACTTCTGCACTTAATAGCTAAAATTCTTTTATAAAGAATAATTTCCCGAATCAACTCTTTGTTATCCTCATATACAGTCTGTACAGAAAGGGCAGCCTAGATGCTTAATTCTTTCCCCTCGTTGGTTTTCAGAAGGAAGAGTTATTGCCTTCGAAGCCTCCAGTGATGGCTGCTGCTTGGCTTTTCTTCTTTGGGATTATTATTATGACTTCATAGATTGTTAAATGTTTTAT